ATGGTTCTTCTAAGCGACGTCCTCAGTCAACAGTTGGCTTTGCCAAGTCAACCCTAGCTGGGAAGTTCTCTAAGATCCTTCAAGAAGAAAAACCAGCCGTGAGGGTTGGGGGGACTGGCTTCCATGGGGGGGACACCGCAGATCTTTCCATGCAATGCTCAGAGAGACACAGAGCATTCAGTGTCTTCTCTAAGGCATGGCTGGAGTCCAGCAGAACGGACAGAGAGCAGATACTAATCACATGGCATGGGATTGTCCACAATGCGATGAGATCCCTTTCTAGACCAGCCTATATGGATGACAAGCTTTTTGGAGTAGAAGACTCTGAGCTAGCTAAAATCCAAGTGCTTCGATGAAGCTCATGGGGGTTATCCTCTCCTGAGAAGAACCAAGCCTGGTTTACGTGCATTCCACCATGAACAACCACATTCTGAAGACTCCTCTACCCATACTAAGGAGGAAGAAGCTGAGTTTTAATCTGAAAAGCCAGCAAGGAAGAGGTTACATCTCAGTCTCAACAGAGCATCTTTAGGAAACTTAATCAGAATATTCTTATTGTGTTCAGTGGGACTAACTCCCTTAAATCACACATACACACACCAAAAAGCCAAAGTTAAAACTGACCCAGCTTAACATGTTGTGTGAATGCAGCTGCCAAGTTTTTAACACTCTTAACTCACTAGGTGTTGTGTTGGGAAACCCAGCCAAAGGGTTTTGCCAGGCAGTCATTTTTCTACCCAGACCAAAGGTTTAAGTTTGTACATTGCACTAAGCTATAATCAGGTCTGTTGAATTTTACTTCGGTTGATCAGTAAACCTAGCCATGAAGGCATGTAAACCATGATTTATGGCTAAATACCATGTAGGAACCAAGGCAATTGTGGCTGAGTCAACAAAACCTACTTCAAACAAAGCTGGCACATTGCAAAGGAGGAACTTGGTTTAAAGAAGTTTAGGAACGTAATTACCACCACCTACTTGGCTTAGAATTCTCTACCCTGAAAAGCACCAATTTTCAAAGTCTCACACCAAAATATTTTTTCAGATCTCCTTTTTAACTGGACTGGTCGGTATCTAAATTTAGTGGTTCCTGCGTGGCCTACCCCATATTCCAGCCCAGTGTTTCTCAAACTTGTCAACTTTAAGCCATGTGGACTTCAACTTCCAGAATTCCCC